AGTGAGACTCTGTCTCAAAAAAAAAAAAAAAAAGAAAAGAAAAGCAGTGCATTGGCGAAAGAATAAGTAAAGGAAAAATGAAAACTTTTATTTTTCTTCTTCTTAATTGATCTCACAGACAAGTTTCTTCAAGATAATTGTAGCAACATGTGTTCAATACAAGTAGGTGTGTGTGTGTGTGTGTGTGTGTGTGTGTGTGTGTGTGTGCTCATGTCTATATGAAATGAATGACAGCAATGATACAAGGGACAGGAAGAAAGAAATAGGAATTTTTTTATTATAAGGTACTTGTACTACCCATGAAGGGATACAGTGTTATTTGATAGTTAACTTGGATTAGTTGCAAACTCTAGAGCCACCACTAAAAAAAGTTTAAAAAAGGAGTATCTAAAGAAAGGAGAAAAAATGGAATCATATCAAATGATTGATTAAAACTTCAAAAGGCAGAAAAATAAGGGAATTCAGAAATAAGAACAAAGAACCAGGGCAGTGAATAGAAAACAGTAACAAATGTAGTAGATATTAATCCAACTCTATCAATGATTACTTTAAATGTCAATGGTTAAAATATAGGACAAAGATTGTCAGAGTGCACCGAAAAACACGACATGACTGTACATTGTCTACCAGACACCCACTTTAAATACAAAGACACATCAGATGAAAAGTAAATGATGGAGAAAACTACATCACGCTAACACTCATCATAAACAAGCAGGGATCACAGCAGAGTTCAGAGCAAGAAAAATTACCAGGGATTTAGGAAAGAACATTCCCTAATGCTACAGGAGTCACTTGGCTGACAGGAATGCGTCAGTGCAGGTTCACTGAGTGTAACAAATGTCCCTCTCTGCTGGGAGATGTGGGTAGTGGAGGAAGCTGCCTGTTTGTGCGGGGAGGGGGCGTATGGGAACTCTGGACTTTCACACAGCTCAATTTTGCTGTGAACTTATAACTGCTCTAAATAAATACAGTCTATTTGTTTAAAAAAGTGCACATGCCCACAAAATCGCATACTTTGTAATGACCAAAGCAAAGGAATGGAAACATCAGTGATAACATTTGCAAGGAATGGAACACTGCACAGCAATGAAATAGAACAAACTGCAGCTGCATATAACAACATGGGTGAATCTCACACACAGTAAAGATACAAGAAGGTACATGCTGTATTGTTCCACTTACACAGAGTTTAGGAACAGGCACAGCTAATCCATGAGGGTAGAAATCAGGATCATTATTACTTTTGGGTGTGGGGAGGTTGTGGCTAGGAGGTAGCATGGTAGAATCTTGTGGGGTGCTGAAAATGTTCCATATTTTGGTCTGGATTGTGGTTACATATGGTGTTTTCATACATGAAATTGATCAAGCACCTTTGTGTAGGTTGCCGTACAGTATAGAATCTTTCCCTCAGATTGTCCTTCAGCCTGGTCCCCATCCCTAAATGGGGGAAGGTCAGTGCTGAGCCTCAGTATTTATGACTTATGGGGGCGGTTTTACTATACACTCACTGGTAAGAGCTTCCTTTAAAAGTAAGTTCAATTTTCGTGATTGCCTAGTAATCCATCATGCAGATATGCAAACATGTAGAATATTAGCATTTGTTTGTTTTCACTTTTTTTATTCTATGCTTCGTAATATTTTTTAAAAAACAAAATGCTTTAAAGAACCCACATACTCTACAAAAAGGGAATGGCTAAAATATAAATGACTGCATAAAAATAATTACCTAGCCTATATTGCAACCTGGAAAAATATAAAATCTTAGCATAATATAATTGAATAAGGCAGAATGCTCATCTTCCATCCCATGGCAGAGCTAAGTTGATACTTGCAAGGATAGGGAGAGGGTCAAGAAAGAAACATGGGAAAAATATTAATAGAAAAAGCTGATGCATCTTCAAAAAACAATTTTCTTTTTGATTGTTACAGTGTTGCATATGAAGTGATATTTTAGTCTTGACTGAAAGATTATTGAAGGGAAACCATTAGGTAACCAATAGCGTGAGTACTTTGTGGATATGGACTAAAACCCACAAAGGTAGCATGGTGATGACTAAAGTTGCTGAATGAATCAGAGAATCTGAAGACTCTGCTAATTACAGCTGGTGTGACTAAGTGCCAGCTTTTCAAATACTCAATTCATTAACCACACAGTGGCCCAGATGAAGAACTAAAGCCAACTCACCATGGCAACTACCCTGGCCTTCTGGTAGGCCACCTTGACTACGTCTGCAGTGCTGGTATTGAGGAAGAAGGGTCTTGAGCCTTCTCTGATGTGCAGCTCCGCCTGCAGGAGGAAGAGGCAAGGAGCGGGTAGGATGCATGTGAGAGAATGAGGGGCCCCCACTGGGTCTCGCCCCAGCAGGGCCGTGGCAGGGCAAGGGCCCTACCTGGATGCCAGGGTGGTTGTAGATGGTGACCTCTTCTGGACTCACCCTCATGTCCTCCACCAGATGAGGTCTATGGAGGCCGACACAGCCACAGGAGGGTCATGCTGAAGGGGCAAGGCCAATACCATCAGATCCAGGAGGCCATGGCCAACTGCAGGCCATCACCACACCTGTCCACAGGCCACCCCTGGGGAAGAGCAGGCCTAGAAGCCCAAGGTCCTGGCCACTCATTATGTCTGGGGCACAAACTTCAATAAAATCATGGTTCTCCTGAGCCCAGCTGAATGGCCACATCCCCTTTGAGGCCTCCCTGAACCAAGGCAGAGTGAGTTGCCAGCTCCTCCACTCCAGACAGAGGTGGGGTGAGCAACAGTCCTGCTCAGATGCCAGCCCCACTCCACCCTGCCAGGCTCCACAGGGTGGGTGACTCACACACATCCTTGACCCTCAGGACCTCACAGCAGATGGCCGGCTTGAGAGCACATGGCAGATACTCCATTGGAGGAGTGGATGGGGGAGTGGATGGGGGAGAGGATGGGGGAGTGGATGGGGGAGTGGAGGGGGAGTGGAGGGGGAGTGGATGGGGAGTAGATGGGGGAGTGGATGGGGGATGGATGGGGAGTGGAGGGGGAGTGGAGGGGGAGTGGATGGGGGAGTGGATGGGGAGTGGATGGGAGCTGGGCAAACAGGAAAGGCGCTGGCCAGGCCATGGGGGAGGGTCTCCTGGGAAGAATCCTCACAGCTGGCTCCCAAGGACAAGGACAGCCCTCACTGCCTTGGGCGGCACACTGCGTAGCTCTGTTTCCTGCCAGGTGTCATTCTAGGGAAACTGCCAGACCCGGCCCAGATATGGTCCACCCACAGTGGGAGTATTGGAGCACCCACTCTACACCAGGCACGTGCAAGACACCGGGGGTGCAGTGACTGCCTTCAGGGAAGAGTGAAGGACAGAAAGGTGCCATGTGCAATGTGGGTGCCACGGGCAAAGAGGGGTCTGAGAGGGAGAGCAGCTCTCAGGGAGCAGAGACCTCAAGCTGAGGGACAGCTGAGCTGCACCAGTGACAGGGAGCCCCCAGGGCACACAGCATGAGTGCAAACGCCCTGGAGGGATCATGTCGGGGTGTCTAGGTCCAGCCAGGAGGCCCCCAGCTCCAGCCCAGGGCTTCCTGGCTCACAGACATGTACTGCATAACTGGATGAGTGAGGAGGAGGGGCAGGGCTGGACCCCTGGTCACCAGCAGATGCCTGCAAGCGTTGCTGTGTTTGCTCTGGAGGTCAGGAGGCCTTGGAGTCGGCCCTGGCTGGGTGACCCTGGACACATTTCCTCACTCGTCCATTCTAAACAAAACCCCCTTGGTTGGTGTCTGGTCTGTACCAGGCACTGTGCCCAGGGCTAGAGGGCAGACACGGAAGATCCTAAGGTCTCTGAGCTTGCCTCTAACGGGAGAGGGGGAGAAAAACATTACAAGCCATGGGGACCAGCGCTGTCTGCGAGGTTGACTCTGGGTGGCAGGGAAATGCCAGGGCTGCCTGGCCCAGGCTGGGAGGATGGGGGCTCCTTCAGGAGCAGGAACTCCCCACCAATGCACCCTCTGGGTGCACCCCAATGGGCCTCCTGTGGATGAGGCAGGGTTCAAACACAGTAAGTAACAAGTGCATCACCAGCCTACTGTGCGGCAGCCCTTGTGCGAAGCCTTCACAGCCGCCCTGGAGGAAGGCCCACTTCTTTGTATTCATGTTTTCTAATGAACCCTTACTGAGTGCTCACTCCCTCCCAGGCTGCTTTCCAGCCCATTCCATTCATTAGCTCAGCTCATCCTCAGCACAACCCTACAGGGTAGGTGCTGTCTAGCCCATTTTACAGGCAGGGAATGTGAGGCCAGAGAAATTAAATGAGTAGAGTATGGAGCTGCTGCGTGTCAGACCTGGACTCAGCCTGGGGAGGCTGGAGTGGAAGCTGAGGCCGTGTGCTCCGCACATGCACGCCACGACCCCTCCCTCCTCAGGTGGGGAGAGGGATTCACAGACATCAGGCAAGTGGCAGAATCCACCCCGGACCCAGGTCTTGGGAGGCACCAAAGGCTGCCGTCCCAATTCTGGGGACCTGTGGGGACCCTGAAGGGTAACTCTGGAGTGGACCAGAAGCGCCTCTCTGTTCTGACCCCTGGTGGAAACAGTTTGAAGCCTTTGGAGCCCACATTCCTGCCTTCTTAAGGAGAGCCTGGCAGGTCAGCACCCTGCCAAGCCTGCCAAGCACTGTCTAGTGTGATCACATGGTTGTCACCAACCACTGTCCCCCGTGGGGTGGCTCTGCTCCTTCTACATCAATTCCTGCTTTCAGCCAGAAAATCACAGGGAGGAGGAGTTATGCCAAAAGCTATTCTGAACAATTGGATTTTCATACGGATTTGTCAGAGCAAGTGAGTAATTCACATCAGGATAGGAGGGGGCAGGGTGGGTGGTGAAGAGCAGGGACCCTGGCTCACCTTGAGGGGCAGGTAGGCAGTGATGGTGATCCTGGCACGCAGGTGGCCGTGGCAGTGTTTGTAGCTTACCAGGAGCGTGGTGGAGCCCTGGGCCTCGGCTCCCACCCTGATGCGGGTGTACTGCTTAGAGCAGTGGCAGCCTCTCCACACAAAGAGGACCACATGGTCACCATGAACTTGCTTTTGCTGAGGAAAAGATGACAGTCTGAGGGTCCCTCTTTCATCCTGGGCTTGATATGCAATCTGATGTTTTTAAATTAAAAAGTTTTAATTTCAGTATACTTCACACAGATGTACAATTTACAATATTTTTTCCCACATATTGAACACATACTATATCCTGTACCAGATCAAGAAACAGATGATCAGCACCAGGAACTCTCCTGGAGACCCATCTGATGTCTAGCCCTGCCCCAAGGAAACCACTACCCTGACTGCTCCCAGCACAGCTAAATTTTGCTTGATGCTGTAGTTTCTATAAAGGAAATCGCTGAGCATAAACTCTTCTGTATTGGCTTCCTCAGCTCAATATTTTTCATGAGATTCCTCATCTGTTGCACATTGTGCATCCTTTATCCACTTTTCTATATATTATGCCATTGTGTGAATACAGAGCAATGGATTCACCCACGCTACTGTGCACACTTCGGCTCCTTCCAGTTTGGGGCTCTGATCCACAGGGCTGCTAAGAACATCTGGGTCCCTTCCTTTTTGGGGACACACTTAGGCATATCTCTTGGGTGTGTCCCTTAAGCTGAGACTCCCAGGCCATGCGGCGTGCATTGTCACTGCCAAATATCATTCTCAAAGTGGTTCCATCAATTGAAACTGCTACTAACAGTTGCCCTACAGCCCTGCCTTTATTTTCCATCAATGTTTTCATTAAATTTTTAAAACCTTATTTATGTTGATTATGATAAAATACACATAACAAAAAACCTCCCAGCCTTGCACTTTTACATGCACAGTTCGGTGGCGTGAAGTCCACTCACACTGGTGTGCAAGCATCCCCACCATTTATCAAACAACTCATCCCGTAAACTGAAACTCTGTACCCAATAAGCAGTAAGTCCCTAATTCCAATGACCCCACCCCACCCCAGCAGCCACCCTTCTACTTCCTGTCGCCATGAATTTGACTACTCTGGGTACCTCATATAAGTGGAATTTGACAGTATTTACCTTTTGTGACTGGCTTATTCACTCAGCACAATGTCCTCCAGGTTCATCCATGTGGTAGCATGTGACAGAATCTCCTTCATTTTTAAGGCTGAATAACAGTCCACTGTATGGATAGGCCACATTTGCTGTATCCATTCATCTCTGGTGAACACTTGGATTACTTCCACCTTTTGGCTCTTGTGAATAATACTGCTATGACCGTGAGTCGATAAATACCTCTTTGAGATTGTGCTTTCAATACCTTTGGGTATATAGCCAGAGGTGGGATTGCTGGATCACATACTAATTCTGTTTAATTTTCTGAGGAACCATCATATTATTTTCAACAGCAGTAACACCATTCATTGTACATTCCCTCTACCAGTGCACAAGTGTTCCAATTTCTCTACATATTCACCAACACATTGGTTTTTGTTTGTTTGTTTGTTTTTTATTTTTTTGAGAGAGAGTCACACTCTTTTGCCTGGGCTAGAGGAGTGCCCTGGCGTCAGCATAGCTCACGACAACCTCAAACTCCTGGGCTCAGGAGATCCTCCTTCCTCAGCCTCCTAAGTAGCTGGGACTATAGGCACTTGCCACTATGCTTGGCTAATTTTTGTTTGTTTGTTTCTATTTTTAATTGCTCGGCTAATTTTTTTTCTATTTTTAGTAGAGACTGTGTCTTGTTCTTACTCAGGCTGGTCTTGAACTTCCCACCTCAAGAGATGCTCCCACCTCGGCTGCCTAGAGTGCTAGGATTACAGGCATGAACCTCCACACCATTGTCAAAATTTGGATGTGAAACCATCTGTTCTGGGATTTTCTTTTTAGGAAGGTTTTTTATTGCTGCTTCAATTTTTGTACTTGATATTGCTCTGTTCAGGAATTCTATTTCTTCCTGACTGAGCCTAGGGAGGCCGTGTGTTTCTAACAGTTTGTCCATTTCCTCCACATTTTCACATCTATGTGCACACAGGTTTTTACAGTATTCATAGATAATATTTTGTATCAGTGGTATCATTTGTATTTTCTCCTCTTTCATTCCTGATTGAGGTTAATAGAGTCCTTTTTTTCTGTTTCTTGTTAATGTAGCAAGAGGCATGTCAATTTTGTTTATTTTTTCAATGAATGACTTCTTTTTGTTTTATTAATCTTCTGTATAGTTTTTTGTTATTGATTTCATTTAGTTCTGCTCTGATCTTTGTTATTTTGTTTCTCCTGCTGGGTTTGGGCTTGGTTTGCTCATCTTTTTCCTATTCTTCCAGACAATTCATTAGATTGTTGATTTGTGATCTTTCAGTCTTTTGCATGCAGGCATTTGTGTATATAAATTTTTGTCTCGGGACTACTTTAGCTGTGTCCCACAGATTTTGACACCTTGTGTCACCTTTGTCATTTAGTTCAAAGAATCTTTTGTTTTCCATCTCAATTTCTTCCTTAACCCAATGATCCTTCAGCAGTAGGTTGTTTTGTTTCCATGACTTTGTGTAAATGTGAGAGTTTTCTGTTGAAGTTGATTCTAATTTTATTCTACTGTGGTCTGAGAAGATGCATTGTATAATTTCTTTTTTTTTTTTTTTTTTTTTTTTGAGACAGAGCTTCACTCTCTTGCCTGGGACGAGTGCCGTGGAGTCAGCCTAGCTCACAGCAGCCTCAAACTCCTGGGCTCAAGGAATCCTACTGTCTCAGCCTCCTGAGTAGCTGGGACCACAGGCACGCGCCACCATGCCCGGCTAATTTTTTCTACATATATTTTTAGCTGTCCAATTAATTTCTTTCCATTTTTTGGTAGAGACGGGGTCTCGCTCTTGCTCAGGCTGAGTCTGAACTGCTGAGCTCAGAACGATCCGCCCGCCTCGGCCTCCCAGAGTGCTAGGATTACAGGCGTGAGCCACCGCGCCCGGCCCATTGTATAATTTCTAACGTTTAAATTTGTTGAGACATGCTTTGTGGCCTAGGATATGGTCAATCTTAGAGAATGTCCCATGAGCTGATGAGAAAAATGTATATTAAGCAGTTTGGGGGTACAATGTTCTGTAAATGTCAGTGAGGCCTTTTTGTTCAGAGTTCTGTTTAAGTCCATTTTTTCTTTGTTTGGAGGATCTCTCCTGTTCTGTCACAGGAGTGTTAAAGTCCCTGGCTATTACAGTGCTGCTGTTTATCATTGTGTTTAGATTAAGTAGGATATATCAATCTGGGTGAACCTGAGTTAGGTGCATAAATATTTAGAATTGCTATGTCTTCTTGTTGAATTGTACCCTTCACCATTATGTAGTGACTATCTTTGTCTTTCATTCCTTTTCTTGATTCGGAGACTAAATTATCTAAAATCAGAACTCCTATGCCCGCTTTCTTTTGGCTTCTCTTTGCATGGAATATTGTTTTCCATCTCTTCAGCTTGAGTCTGAATGCATCCTTGTGGGTTAGACGTGTTTCTTGAAGACAGCACACACTTGGCTTGTGTATATTTATTCATTCAGCCAGCATATATTTCTTTAGTGGGCAGTTCCAGGCATTCACATTTATTGAAAGAATTGATAAGTGGGGCAGATTTCTGTTCATCCTGTTGAGTTGAACTTGGTTGCTTTGTTTTCTCTGTTGAGCCATCGTGATATCTGGCCTTTGATCTTTAGTTTTTGGACAATTTCACACTGGTGAGTGTTTATTGTCCTGAACTGTATGTAATGCTGCTCTGAGTACTTCCTGAAAGGCAGATCTTGTCTTGATAAAGTCCCTGAGTCTTTGCTTGTCTGAGAAGCCCTTTATTTCTCCTCCATATAAGAACTTAGTTTTGCAAGATACAAGATTCTAAGCTGGGCATTATTCTCTTTGAGAAGAGTGAGAATGGAGCCCCAGTCTCCTCTGACTTGTAAGGGCTCAGTAGAGAAGTCTGCAATTAGTCTGATGGGTTTTGCTTTATAGGTTACCTGCTGCTTTCACCTTACAGCCTCTTTCATGGTTATGTTGGCCTCCGTGGTGACTTTGTGTCGTGGTGTCTTCCTGTTTGCAATGAATCTCCCAGGAGATCCTTTGAGCTCTTGTACCTGGATATCTAGATTTCTAGCAAGGCAAGGGACATTTTCCTCCATTACAACCTCAAATCGTTTATCCAACCCTTGTGTATTTTCTTCTTCACACTAAGGAATCCCCATAATTCTCATGTTAGGCCTCTTCACATAATCCCACTTTTCTTGTAGACTTTGCTCTTTTCTCTTCTTTAGCTGCTCTATCTCTGCGACTGACTTGTTTAATTGAAAGGTGTTATCTTCAATCCCTGAGATTCTTTCTTCTGTTTGATCTACCCTATTCTTGAGGCTTCCAACTGTATTATGTAATTCCTTGAATGAATTCTTCATTTCCAGAGGTTCTGTTTGATTTTTCTTTAATATTTCAATTTCTTTAGTGAATTTTTCTTCCACGTCCTGGATTTGTGTGTGTGTGTGTGTGTGTGTGTGTGTGGTTTCTTTGTGTTGGGGTTATTTTCTCTTGCATATCATTTAGTTTTCTTACAATCCATGTTTGAAATTCTTCTTCTGTCATTTCAGTGTTCTGAATTTGCTTGATGTCCATTGCTAGAGAGCTGGTGTTCCCCTTTGGAGATGTCCTTTTAGTGTGATTCTTCATACTTCCAGAATTCTTTTGCTGATTCCTTCCCATCTGGAGCAGCTATTGCTTCTTACTGTTGGATTTTCGTTTACATAATGACATGCCCACTTTAGTCTCTGAGCCAGTAAGTGGTGTTTGTGGGTGAGACTCAACCAAACCATGTGTGATGAGTCAGTAAATGCAGTATAAGGGCATGCAAACCGACCTCCCTGTCAGTAGGTGGCCCTTGCTGGGAGGAGCAAGCTGCAATGTTTCTGGGTCCTGTAACCAGGTCTCATTCCTCCGGAGAGGGACTGGAGTTCCTCAGGTGGTGGGTGGAGTCCTAGGATTTACAGGTGTGTCCTTATTCTCCACCTCAGCAGAGGGAGATGGGGGAGTGAGGCTGGGCAGGGCTGGGTTGAGTCAGCCTGCCCTCAAGCT